TTTGTATACGTGTAATACCTTATTAGAAGTAATCATTCATGATTAATCGAGTGAATAAGGTATAAACCTTTCTTATTGAGAGTTACAAGGTATAAACCTTTCTTGTTGTACATGGTAAGGGCATTATCATACTACTCATGGATTTTATTATAATTTGCCATTAAATTATCTCATATGAATCGTGACTTGAGGGAAGGAAATTGGCATACCTTAATAAGGTAGTTTTGTATAATAGTTAAGAACATTCAATGTGCAATTATCTAAAATCATCTCTAGGAATGAGCAAGTCTTCAGGTAATGATATATGAAGTTTGATGGGACTATTAGCTCCTTTTAGTTTTATTTGAAATACTTTAGATTTGTGTATTTGTTAAATGTTTTGAGAAGAGCAATATTTTGCCTCTTATGCTTCATATTAATAACCAGTTACTAGCTGGTGATTAAGTGAATGGGATAAAATACTCATAGTAGTGCCACCTTGATGTAAAATATTTTGTTAGACATGTTTTATTTAAGGATTATTATCCATTTTAATAAGTCTATTAATCCTTGATTTATCTCAGGCAACCTATTTTAATTAAATGTTTAGAAATCAGGTGCACACTTTTAGTTTGGTACCTATTTAAGGAGTGCAAAGTTGCTTAAGTTTTAATGTTCTCAAAATAAATGTTAAGGAGAATCATTTTGCATATAAAGAATTCTGTACGCTTTCACTATGAATAATTCTAAGGATGTTAAAATATGCACTGATATTTGATCTAGATTAGCTTTGAGTACCCCTTCGTAAATGCTTACAAAATCCTTGCAAGAAATTACTAAATGATCATTTTGAAAAATTATTGTATACTAAAAGGTACACCATACTTAATAGTGGTTGTAAAAATTTAGTCCTCTTTTTTAGAATTGTGGTTATAAGGATTAAAAGATGCACCATATATATTCTATGATATAGAGAAGAACTATCTTGTAAAAGGAGTATACTATAGACACTTAGTAGCTACCTTAATATTGGTTGTATATCACTTATTGTTAAGCCTTTCATTAGACTATATAGTTGAGAAAAGTATCATTGGACATGCATTTTGTTGTTTTCTATGACTATTAATATGATATTTTTTTCTACCTTGAGATTTCTCTCAAGGATTTTATTAGAGAAGATTATAAACACTTATTCAATTCACATATGTGGTAAATACATGCTTATACATTTGTATGACTAAAGGCTTATATATGTGAGTTTTATTGATATTTTGTAATAACCTTGATTTAGTAAGAGTTGGAGTTGTGTCTTCTTAAGAGAATTTGATGATTTAAGGTCATTTTGCTATTATGCTTAGTTTTGTTTCAGAAACAATGAGATACTTTATATTATTTGTTTCCCTATAGGATTCAATGTAATTTTAATTTATGCATCTTATATCACTTGTTTTCTCTTGAAATTCAATGAATATTGTATTGTTTCTCCACTAAATTTTAGTTTTGGTTCAAAAATATTACAATACTTTATGTTATTTGTTTCCCTATAGGATTCACTTATTAGTATTAGTGCACCATGTATCACTTGTTTCCCTACAGGATTCACTGGCTTTGTGTTGTCTTTTATAGAGTTGTGGTCGAAAAACTTACTTTATGTTTAGTTTAGTTAAATACATCTATATCATTGTGTCCTCATAAAATTCAATGACTTTTTTATGGTACATGATATATTTCACTTATTTCTTCATAGGAATTAGAGATCATATGATAAAATTTTCATATGTAGTTCTATTAAAATTATGAGACATTACATTCATGTTTAATATTACTTGCTTCCCTATAAGATCCAGTGACTTGTGAAGTTTCATTTTTTTAAATTTTATCATTGGCTTAATATTATTTATTAATGCAATCTAAATGGGAGATTGTTGGAATATTTATAAAATATTTATATATTGTGGATTTGTATTAATTAGATATCGAGCCCAAAATAAATTAGTTTTTATAATCTTATGTAGACAATGATAGGTGTATCACATAAGTGAGCCTAATAAACAAATACCCAATCTATAACCTTATAGCAGTCAGTTATTCTATATCTCTTAACCGATCGAGTCAAAGATAATGAAAGATTAATTAATTAATTAATTATTAATGTGGTTACTGATATGATCTATATAATGCAATTCGTTAATAACCAACATACACAACTCTTTTCCAATCTTTTCACTATCTCTACACTCTCTAAAAAAACTATAAGGGCCTAGTAAGTTGTGTGTTTTCTTACACAAGAGGTAATCAAAAAGTCATAAGCCATGATTCTCTAAGCATGCATGCTAACTTCTTATCTTATTTAATTATATATATTGAGATCCTAATTATTTGATGTAATCAAGGAATCATAAGCCATGAATTTTTTTGGTATGCATGTTAACTTTTTATCTTATTTAAGTTATATATATTGAGATCCTAATTTCAACAAATCATGCCTGAAGATGATGATGATGATGATGATGATGATGATGATGATGATGATGATGATGATGATGAGATGTTAAAAAAATCTCTAAAAAATGATGGGAAAAATACTAAGAAAAACGTTGGACAAGTGAACTTTGTGGAAGAAATGATTACTTGTTCTCTCACTGTGGTCCCAAAATTCCTCACTTTCCTCACTCAAGGTCCTTACCTATCCTGATGTGAGTGTTAATGTCCTTCTTATTCATATATAATACTACATCCTATTTAAAATATAAGTATTTTCTTTTAGTTATTATTAGTTTAAAATATAAATAGCTTTGTATTTGTTAAAAAAATGCTATTTTATCCATTATATTTAGTAATCCAAATTCTTGTATTTGTAAATTTATGACTTTTCCCTCACTCATCATAAATTGAAACTAAGGATAAAAAAGAAAAATAATGTATATTTTTATGAGAATAAAGTTTTATTGATATGTGAATTATTTTTAAAAGTTGCTTATATTTTGGATCAAAAGAAGTAAATTATTTGAATGTTAATCTTCTCAAAATGAATATGAAATCTCACTCCATTCAAGCTTTGTCACTTGTCCAGCATAATTTCTCCAATTGCCATCCCCTCATGTGGAAACTATCAAAGAAAAATAGATATTGCCATGAAAGACTAGACTGTCATGTTTGAGTAGATGTTTAGAAAAACATATACATCAATCTACTAGTTCACTAGACATCTATTGACAACTTCAATCTCGTGATATTTAACTATCCTACAAAAGGTGTAAAATTTTTAAGAAAAATAATAATAAAATCTCTTTAAAATATATAAATAATAATTTAGTCTCTCGAAATATCATAATTTCCCTGAAGTCCTTAGAGATTTTTTTATCATTAATGAATTTATATAAATTACTAAATTACCCTTGTTAAAAATAAATTATTCATAACTTTTTTTCTTATATTCACAACTTTTCTTTTTAAATTCGCAACAATGCAATAGCAAATTACAACTTCGCATATTAAATTCTTTATTTATTGTTGCATTATTGTAAGTATATGAAGAAAAGTTGTGAATCATTTATTTTCAATAAGAATAATTTGATAATTTATATAAATTTATTAATGATAAAAAAGTCCTTAAAAACTTCAGAAAAATTATGACATTTTGAGCAACTAAATTGTTATTTATATATTTTAAACAAATTTTATTGTCATTTTTTTAAAATTTTATAGGTTCTGACATGATTTGATTTCTTATATTTTCTTATACAATTTTATGTGGCTTTTACTCAAAATATACTTCATCCAGTTCAAAATATAAACATCTATTAATAATAATATGTATATCAATAAAATCATTATTGCCATGAAAATATATGCATATATTTTTTTTACTCTTAGTTCTAATTTATAATGAGTGAAAAAAATGTCATAAATTCACACATGCAAGAATCTAAATTAATAAATATAAAAGGTAAAATAAGAAAAATATTTTCTCACAAATACTAGGCTGGAGGGACGAGGGAGTATTTATTATGATAAATTCATGCACTGATCCTTTTTATACTCTTGACATATAAATTAAAAGCGATAGAACAATCCATTGTCAAGGGGGCAAAAAAAAAAACTTAGTCCAGGTTAATGGAAAATCTAAAATGAAAATATTATTAATTAGTTTTAATTGATTTGAAGGAAAATCTAAAAGAATGGCCTGTGGATTTATTGCACCCACTGATTAATGGGAAATCCTGGAGCAACCATTAGTAGACCTCAGTTGGAGAACCCTCCGTAACTTTACTTGCTTCGACCAAAATCAAAAGTTTTAATTAATAATTATGAAATAAAATGCTTTAATTGCAAAATCATCTTGCTCACCAACCAAAACCATGAAAATCACCTCTTCAAGTCATTATGATTTGTGACTCACCAACATAAAAACCATGGGCACACCCTGATTATCAAACTTTTTGTTAACGTATTCACCAACTTTAACGTCTTCTATTGCTTTTTCGTTTCATATTATATAATATATTATGCTTCCATTAATAAATTTTTTACATACACTGTATAATCCTCTTCCTAGCATATGACTGTATGTTTATAAAAGATGTCATTCCGCTTTTATCGTTTGTCGACCTATCCCATTCATGCATAAATTCCATAAGTTAACTATTAAGAATGAGTTGCTGGTTTAAAAAAAGAAAAAGTATATATATATATATATATATTAATTTTATTAATAATAATAAAAAAATCTGGCTAGAATTAAAAAATCAGGGGCCCATCCGCTCTCGTATTTCCTATCCTAGGCGATGGCGTGTCCCTTGGATATTGGATTTTTTTTTTTTTTTTTTTTTGCTTTTGAAATGATAAAGTTCTTGTCTGTAGAGGACCAGTAGACAGCCATCGGATTTTCATGCAATTGCCACGTGTCACGTGCTAGTGATCTCATCAAACTTGTGAGTCATTCAGAACTTGCGCGACTTTCTTGACGGAGAGATGATCAGGATGAGATATAAACGGCGTCGTGTCGTTCATCAACTAGAGCTGGCTTGTCCCTTCAACGACGCAAAAGCAGAAAAAAGCCTCTCAAAACCGACACCAAAGAATGATAACGAATACACTCAGAAAAAAGCACGCAAATCTTGGCCTCTTCTGATGAGCGTCATGTTCGTCAGCTTCATCTTCTTCCTTTCCCTGTGATGATTCATTTGGATCCCTGTTCGATCCTCTTCCCTCTGCATCTATTAGTCTTCCCTAGTTCGCTCTTCCTTTACTTTCCTTCCACTATATCTGCAAATTGCTCTCTTGGTGCATCCTCTCGATCCTTCTCCGTGCTCCTCTGTTTTAGTCCGTTTTCTGTCTTTCTTTTCCTTCGAGGATAGGCTTGTTTCATACTTCCCATGCTTTTTAGAGTGCTTGTTTCGGGGCTTCTTTAATTGATTGCATATATCATATGAATATACTCTCTTTACTGCTTGTGTTCTTCCTCTTCCTCCTCCTCCTCTTCTTCTTTTTAATATGGGTGTTTATAGATTTGACGGTTGTTTTACTCTCATTTCGACTACATATATTCAATTTCTCGGTTATTTGTTCTCCGTCCCATTTCAAGTTTGCATGATAAGATTAAGGGAGGGTGTGAGAATCTAAAATCTGACTCCCTTATAACTATCATAAAAATTGAGGCTTTGTTCCGAAGTGGAATTTTACATTGCAGTTTCAGATGATCTTCCCTTCCATTCTCTGCTTTTTTAATTGTTGTCCACCAAATATTTGATAATAAACTCGAGGAAAGGTTTGTTATTATTATTTACCGGAGCAGATTTGGATGATTGTTTCTAGTAGTTGTTGTGGAAGCATTCGCCTTATCTTTCTTTCAAAAAAAGAAGCATTGTTCTTGTTGCTGCTGGAACACAATCATCCTTATATTATTGATCTGTTTTAAATTTGATGACAACAATAGTACAGAGCTATGTGCATGTGCTGAAATGCCGTCACTATTACTCGTTCTGTTTTATTTTGGGTATTATGCAAATAATATGACCCCCCACACCCCCAAACCCCAATATTGTGGTCTTACGCTATATTTGGTCTTTAAACACTCCTTCTAGCTGGTATTTAGAAGCTTTCTACTACTTAGGCTTATTGGCCATACATCTTGATACTTGTTACATTATATGTTATTTGTGTGTCGGTATATGACTATGTAATTGTGAACTAATTTCACCTGTTCCAAGTGATTTCATCATTTCATGGCTTATACGTTGCTTCACAGAATAACTCTGAACATTGTTTTCCATTTGAGGCAGTGATTATGAAGGAATCTTAGGTAAGTGATGGCAGCAGCAGAGGTGAGGGCTGTGTGGCAGAGAACTGCTAATCGTTGTTTTGTCCAAGAAGATGCGAAAAGAGCTCCCAAACTAGCATGTTGCCAACCTTCATGTGCAACACCAAAGTTGGATGATGCAGAACCAACCAATGCAGCATATGAATCAGTTAACGCTGCGGTTAATGTCATGCATTTTAACCGAAAATCTTCATTCGCCAATCTATCCCCTGACTCAAGGTGGTGGTTGCAAATGCAAACTGACTATGGGCATCAAAAGAGCACATTGCATCAACAATCACGTGCATTAGATGATGAACCAGAGATGCTGAAAGCTAGTGATGAAGATGAAGTATATGAAGATGTTACTTGCTTTGGCGATGAGGAGTATGATTCATTTTATCATTTGGACTATGATTTACAGGTTGATATGATGAAGCAAGCTAGTGAAGACAAAATGCTTGGGCGACCTAGTGAAAAATCTCAGGCATTTGCGCAACTGATGGATATGACAGGAAAACATGAGACAACGGAGATTGATAGTGTTGGTTGTTCAGTTTCCAAGCAAATGGATGAGTTCAACTTGGGCTTGGATTGTTCTTGGACTGACGTTGATAAGTCTGAGCCATGGTGGCAAACTACTGATAGAGATGAGTTAGCTTCCTTTGTTTTAATGAGATCACTCAACCATATTGAGAATTGTGATCTTCCTCCACCTCAGAGGAAGTATGTAAGAAGACATCCATGTTCTAGTATTGGTGATGAAAAAATAAGGACATCATGTGCTAATTGGGAGACGAAGTCCTGTGGCTTGTCCAACCTGACTACACATGCTCAAGGGAGTTTGGGTTCACAATTGATGCATGAAAAGCAACAGACATCAGCTAATGAAAAGGTCTCACATTGTGCTTCTGAAAATTCTTCCAGGTAAATGGAAAATAATATCAATCATCTAGTTGTAAATACTGAAATTTCACTTCCCAAATCTGTAAAAACAAACGCATTAACAAAATAGATGTTTACTTTCTAGTACAGGTTTTGTGTTAATAGGGTACAACTTAAGCATGTTCCAGGTTTTCATGGATGTTAATATTACCATATTTGGACTTGCAACTTCGTAACAGTCACACTACCATGCACAAGGATACCACACAGGAGCAGCAAGCTTTTGGGGGAGATCCGAGCAAAGCTCAACTAATGGAAGCACTGTGCCATTCTCAAACACGAGCGAGAGAAGCAGAAGCTGCAGCGAGACAAGCATATGCTGAGAAAGAGCAAGTTGTCAGGCTCATTTTTAAGCAAGCGTCACAACTTTTTGCATATAAGCAATGGTTTAGGTTGCTGCAGCTAGAAACTCTGCTAACTCAGATCAAGAATAAGGATCAGCCTCTCTCAACTCTATTGCCTATGGCGCTTCCATGGATGACTTGTGAAGGAAGAAATCTGAGGAGGAGAAGGCAGAAGTGGCCCAAAACCAGACGAGAAATGCCATCAAAGGAAAATATCACAACATATGCTGTTGCATTTGCTTTAGGACTGTCTATTGTTGGTGCTGGCTTGCTCTTAGGATGTTGTGTGGGTTGGATGTTACCTCATTTGTAGTTTTGCTCTTAAATGATTTGAAATATAGTCCCGCTTTTACATGTAGATTAGTAGAGGGGAATGGGTAAACAGAGAGAGGGGCTGCATTTGTTGTGTTGCATGTGTGTATTCACCCTTGTAGATTTTAGTTGTCCTTGTCAAATATCTTGAGTTGTCATCTAACTTGTGTGATGAATGTTACATTGAGATTTGAGATGTGAAGCAGAAGCAACTAGTTTTTGGTTCTATTTGTTCAGTTTTTATTGGCTTCCATTATCTATCCCCAGAAGCCGCAGATATGTCAGAGAATGTGGAGCACCTACATGTGGCCAAAGAATATTTTCTGAAGAACCAACAGTCATAAAAGTAACAGCTGAAATCTTAGAAATTAAAATCTGTCCGAGTTTACATAACAGAGTCAAGTTTTCACGAATTCCTTGCCATTACAAATATACTTTTATCTACAAAGTATAGGGTTCGTGTTACTTTTATTTTTTTATATTGATGATTGATGACAAGAAGTAGTTTCTGTCTGCTTCTAATTTAAACTACAACAAATAAATTTTGATGCTATAAATTTCTTATTTTATTGCTTACGGGAACAAGTTGAAGGCGGTTGCTGGTAATCTGGATTGATGTATTTGCGGGTTACATTTACTATCAGCTTAGTGTTTTACTTTAGGCGTCAAACTCTAAACCTCATAGGAATCGGCTTATGATGTGCTAGATTTGTGATATACTAGGAACTAAGTTTGTGTATTGGTGGATTACATTCTCCAGGGACCCAAGTTTACTTTAGGCATTAACACTCATAGGAACCAGCTAAGTTTGAGATACAATATCAGTTGGACCACTAGGGGGAAAATGGTCATTTGCTATAATTATAGTATTGACGATGGGCATACCATGATGGCATTGGTTCATCTCATGACATCACGGTCATATATAATTAGAGGGAGGCCGAAGCAAGGCATCTTCCAAGTTTGATTAGAAAAGACAGAAAGTACTACGTTTCTACGTCTTTTTTGCATTTAGCACCCTATCATGTCACGTGAGCGGATCCCACACCCTTCATTTTAGTGTCTATGCATCCTCATATTCCCTGTGACCCTAGAAATCAACAGTATTTATGTGCACGTTATCATTGGATAATAATATACTCCTCCAATTACTTTTATATATCATTTTTATCAACCTCTATATCAATACAAAAAAATATAAAAATTAAAAATATATATAATTATAAATATGTTTTTTATATAATAAATTTAAAAAGCAATGTCATATTCTTTTTTTCTTATAAAAGATAATTTTAAAAATATCTTTTAAATATTATTTAAAAAGCTGTATCATAACTTATAAATAAAATCAAATAAAGTTTTTAAAAATTAAATAAAGTTTTTAAAATGTGAGTTATAAGTGAGACCAAAGATAATATATATATATATATATATATATTGGCCGAAAGTCATTTCCTGTGAAGGTTTCTAGTCTCTACAAACAACACCCTCAACCTGATTCAAAGCGATGTGAGTGTTTAGTCCGGCTACAGCTCCGCACAAAAAATATTGAACTTTCAGTGGTTTTCACTTTTCAAGTGAATGCGAGTAGAATTTAACATCCCTGTCACCTCGGCTTCTCACTCTTCAGTGGGATCAAAGGGAACGATTTTGCCTACTCATTTTCGAGCTCGTGAATTCTGTCAGATTGGAATTAGCATTAATGGCCACTGCATTACACAGGCTCAGAGGATTTTGAAAGAGGGCTGTGGTTTGATTTTGTAACTTGTAAAATAGAGCTTAGCGTTCAACAATGAAAATTATATTCCAAAACTATATAATCGTTATAGAGATGGTTCTCAGCATTAACCCACACACATGATACACACACACACACTCAGTAGTGCAGAGATAACATTTATTTACTCTCTGTATTTTTCAACAATCAGAGAGTCAAGGGCGGTGGTCGGATATCTCGTGCAAAATATTCAAAAGGAATTATGAAAAGGACAAAAATATATACAATAAGGAACAAACTATTAGTAGAGAATTATTGATTTGCATTGCACCGTCATTCGAAAGAGGATATTTCGGGTTTGAGTTTCCTCTTAGCTGTACGAGCCATATAACACATATAACACAGATGGGATAGGTCGGAAAACCTGTACAACCAGGTCACATGGGAAAACCTACGGCTTCCACACTAACAAAAATCGAATCCTAAGCCTTACATTACAGCATTGTGTTTTTGTAACTGTGGATGAAACTGGTCCTCAATGCCACACCTCCAATAACTGAGCTGTCATCATCTTCCATAAAAGGATAACATTGTACAGCCGACAGTGGATAGTTTGACACAGCATTACAGAATTGATTTTGACCCGACCATGGTGCCACAGACATTAAAATAAAATTTAAAAAAAAAAAAAAAAGCTAGAGCTTAAGTTCATACCCACTACCACCTTTCCTCTGCTTCTTAATCCGCCATGGAACCACCTGCTTCAAGTTCTGTGAGATTGTCGTCTGCAAAATTGACAAGAGACCACATACCAAGTACCAACATTAATCAAGTGGAAGTCCTCATCTTTGCAATTTTATTTGCGGAAAAAAAAAGTCCACTACTTTTGAGAAAAGTTTCCAGCTTCATCCACCAAAATATATATATATATATACATAGGACCCATCTAAAGAAGTGAAAATCTAGATTTTACAGTATAATCAACCAAGTCCTCCAGAAACAACTGGCCTTTAATTGCTGTTTCTCTTAAAACTGACGTTTTGTTTTCAGTTTAGCTAGGAATTAGAAGAATTTGGCAAGAATGTCACTTCAAGTTAGAACTCTTTAGAACCTCATTCCTAATGAAATTGATTTTGTGTACAGCACATTGAAGTTAGTCTTTCAAATACGAATTGCTGCAAAGCCATAACTTTTTACAGGATCACACGAAAGCAGAATTCTAAAACAGGAACTATCACAGACAGAGTGAAAACTTACCCAGACGCAAGAATTGGCTTGGAATGCGCTAGGAAAGCTGCCAGATCGTTTCATCTTGTTTGTCCCTCCACAAATAACACCAGCATCATCATCACAGTCCCTATTATCAGCAGAAGATGGAAAGACATAACTGCCCCAAGACACTTCTCTTCTGACCCTCAAACCCTTCTTCCTCCAAGACCCAAACCACCCTCCTCCTTTATCTCTGAGCCCTCCTCTGTTGAGAACCAGAGCTCCAAGCCTACCCTTCTCATCACTGAAAGAACCCGCCGCTCTGAAAGAAGGAGGAGAGCGAAAGCTGTCGCTACTCCCAGAAGAGCCCTCCAAGACGGAAGTGGGTGAGAGTAGTTTGGTGAGTTTGGCTTCAAAGAGCAGTCTTGGAGGCAAATCCAAGGACTTTGAGGGGAGATCACAAGTGGGGTTGTTGTCGAAGGGGACGAGAGCAGTACAGGGCCTGGGCTTTCCAGGCTCTTCTTCCCATCGGAATGGGACTGAAGCTAAGGTATGGAGTGGAGGCGTGGCGGCGCCGGAGTGCTCCGGTGACGGCATGGATGGGACTGAGAGCAACAAGGGCAGTTTTGGTACAGTGTTATGCTCTTCTGCATCGGAATTCATATCTCAGTTTCTTCTTTCTTGCCTTCTTTCTCAGTACTGTATCTCTCTTTCCCCTTGTGCGTGTGTGCGTGAGAAGGAGAGAACAAGGGAGGAAAGGAGGGGATGAAGCTGAAGCCGTACCTTTCTCAGCAGGAAATGTTGATTCTTTGACTCTTTGCGTCACGTTTTAGCCTTTCTGTGGGGGAAAAAAAAAACTCCAAAAGAAGCGCCCTTTATCGTGAGTTTTTCTTTGTTGTGCATAGGACAACGTGTTCCTACAATCTACCATATTCATAAAATAAATTAATATAAAAAGAATTATTCCATCATGAAATTCTTTTAAAAAAATTGTATAACTATGTAAGTAAAGTTTTAAAAATTATATCAACCATTGAATCAAATTAATCACTGGCTCACGATTTATTGACTCAACCGTGATCAAATTAATTGATATTAAATTAATATATTCATAATTTATGTATTATAATTAAATAAAAAATATATACAAATATTTATATTTTTCAAAAAAATTAATAAATGCCTACTACCATGCAATATGTGTTTATCATTACTAAGCATATTACTATTCAATTAATATGATAAAAGGTGAGGATAATAAAATGTTAATTACATGTATACTAATCTAAGCATTATGCTTTTTTTTTTTTGGAAGTACAAGTGACAAGTTGAAACTAGCTTGATTGAATACGTGACCTCTCACATATGAAAGTGGGCCTACAAAATTATGCTTTGTTTAGTATGAAAGTGTATAATTCACTTGCAAAATTTAAAAAGTCCCCTTTAAACCAAGGCAAAATTATAGAAAAATTCTTTTAAAATATATAAATAATAATGAGATCCTATAAAATGTTATATTTATACTAAGTCCCTTGAAACTTTTATAACATTAATGTGTTTTGTGAAATGATTATAATACTCTCTATTTAAAATAAAAAGAAAAGCAAATACTAAATTAGAATTTATTATTTGTTATCCCATTTTAATTATTGTTAGAAAAAAAGTAGTCATTATTTAAATTAAAATAGTCACTGATATTTACAATACTTAAATTTTAATGATTAAAAATTTTGCAAATGAAAAGTTATAATTAATTGTCTCATTTTAATCCTTCCTAAAAAAAAAGCAATAATTACTTAAGCCAAAATAATCATTGATATTCACAAGACTTGAATTTTAGTGATTAAAAAATTTGTAAAGTGTAATTTGTCATTTGCTATATTGTTTTAGTCATTACTTAAATTAAAATAGTCACTAATATTTATAACACTTGGATTTTAATGGTTAAAAAATATGTATAGTGAAATTTGTTATTTGCCATCTCATTTTATTTATTGTCATAAAAAATAAGTATTACTTAAATCAAAGTAGCCATTACACATTTTTTTTAATTTTGAATTAGAGTTATTATAGTTATTTTATAAATGATATTAATGTCAGAAAAATCACAATAAAGCTATGCATAGTGCCTAAGTGCCCAGCTAGCTCGACCTACCTAAGGCATTCAGGCACTTTGGGTTGAGCTTTGGGCTAGGCATTGGAGAGGGGTCAAGCCTTGCCTTGCCCAGCCCAACCCCAACCCGAACATGAGCCATATTTTATTTTTTTTGTAAAGAATATTTATTTATAATATTATTTTTTGTTAAAAATTATCATGAACTATATTATTTTTATGATTTTTAGATATCTTTTATCATTACAAATTTTTAAATATCTTTTTAAATTTTAAAAACTTAATATTCTATAAAAGTAATTGAAAATTATTGATTATATGTACTTTTAAAAATATTAATTTTGACTCTAATACTAGGTTTGTGAAGAATATATAATTTAATATATTTTTCAAATAAAACATTTTATATATTCTTTAAAAAAATGTTTGTAAAACTCTTTAGGTCAATGAGGCCAAACTCAGCCCAAACACTTTTGCATCGAGCTGGCCTAAACCACACGTCGGATAGGGTATCGAGCAGGGGTAATGCCTTACCCCAACTTTGTCCATGTGTAGCCCTAAGTCTATTTTATAATTTTTTAAAGGGGCCAGGATGGATTAAGGGGGCCAAATTGAAAATGAAGTGTGAAGTGGGTGGCCAAAATCTATTTTATAATTTTTTATAAGTAAAAATTTTGATTTTTTTCCCCTAAAAGATGGTTGAAGGTGAGGGATCACCCGTTATTGTTGCAAGGTCAGCCCTTGAACTAAGCCCCTTTCAAAAAGTATTTTAACTTAGTAAACTTTATAATTAAGATCCTTAATTTTGATCACTTATAAAAGATAGGATTAAAAAGCAATTTCACCTTTAAATTATGGGTCTAGCCATCTAGGAGTATTTGGAATCCTAAATTAATCTTTGGTGCAATGTTTTTCTCAGTGATTTAAAAATTGGACTAAACTAGATTATTAAACTGTCGATCGATCAAGCTAACGATTCCTTCAAGTCAAAAAAATTGTTTGTGGAGTTGGGCTGAATTGGACCGTTTTGAACAGGATGTCAGATCGAGAATCAATTCCAGTTTTTAAAAATTAGATTTTCAAAAAATACCTGTTTTTTATTTTTTTTGTCAAATTTTCTTTTTGAAAATGATCAATTTTTTTAATCATTTAATGTTATATTGTATTATGTGGTTTATTAAGTTATGATAAATTTAAAATATTTAATTTTGTTTTTAAGTGAAGTAGCAATTTCATAGTTATTTTTTATATTTAAATTATTATATACATATATAATTTTTTAATTTAATTATTACGTTACAGGTTCAACCATTAGTCCAACTCGTTTTGACCATGCGAATCATGAACCGCTAACCTTTTCGGTTCAATAGCCAGTTTGGTTCTGAAAATATTGGTTTTCCTTCAACTTTCACAAATGCTGCAATGTTGCCTCTATTATTAACAAAAGTTAACTTTAATCATTAATTAATTAAAAAATTATAAAAAATGATCTCAAAAATTATACATAATGATAAAAAATACAAAAAAGAAGCAAGAAAATTTTTCTAGTCCTTATCTGTAATTGTCATTTAACCCTAAAAGATTCTTCTTCCAATCAATATTATAAAATACTTTTAATCAAATTATACTCCTAATGAGTTAATTAATTATTTTTAAAATTACACATTCTTTTCATACTTACTCTTATTTAATAAAATGTCTCAATTAAAAAAAATTTATTAATTACATCTCTATATAATTTAGGATATTTTTGGAAAACTTTATTAATTATACTTTAAAAGATTTAAAATGTTTTATATTTTTTAATATGATTCTTTGAAAAGATGTTTTCTAATATTAGACGGAGGGAGTGAGTTTTTTTTTTTTAAATATTTCCCTTTAGAGTTCAAAACTATTTTATATTCACCTTAAATTATTGTATATAAATTGCAACTATCTAGTTTAGTTTTATTTTTTCTTGGGTTCAAAAGCCCCTAATGTTTTAAAAAAAAAAATTCATTAGCATGTTTCCATTTTATTTTTTATGTTAATTTAATACAAGTGAAGCAACGGCACAAAATGAAGCCCAGGAAATATGAGCATGAAAACCAAAGACCGAAAATTTTTGTTGGGGGTGAACAAGACTTCTCCAAAGGAAAATTGTGGCTGTGATCAGCTGCCCCATGCACTCATTAATTGTACACCAAACACATTATTTCAAGGTCCTTCCCCCCACTTTGATCCACAAGCCGTGCAATCCGGTTTCTCTACGGCTTATTATACATTGCCTTTTTTTTTTTTTTGGTTGCGTACAAATTATATTATTCACAAATAAAAAGAAGCATGTATCAGTATTTTCAATTTTTTGTGGATGCCAAAAAAGTGATGGAAATGAATGAAGAGGGTACATGTGAACATGTTCCATCATGAGTCACACATATTGACACGAAGTGTCCTGCCAAACAGGTCATTCCTATTCGCCACCGAAAGGCCCCCATTACACTCCCTCCTCCAGATGCCAGGTTTCACCATCCAGCTTCCCACAACATCAAAAATGTCTTTATCTTTGAACCTCATAAATCAATGTTTGGTGTCCAACACTTCACTCATTTATCACTTGCCTTTTCTTCTTTCTATTAACCCTTTTCGTTCTGTATGAAGTGATATCTTCACACGACTCGTACAGCAAAAACAACAATAAAAACCTTATTTTATCAAGTGGGATTAACTATAGAGATCACACAATGCCATTATGTTTTGTCTGAAACTAATTATTTTAGTAAGCCATTAATCAAGAGATCCTAATTCATAACTCAATGTGCCTGTTTGGTGGGATGGAATTGAAATTGAATGAGTGAAAATGGAAGTGAAGCTAAATAAAAAAATAAAAAATTATTTGATACAATGCACTTCACTTCTCTAGAAAATCCAATTCTGTCAAAATTGGTAGAATTCATTCCCACTTTCATACCCATGAAACCTACTTTTTCCCTTACTTCCTTCATAAAAATGACACACTCTCATATATATACTAAACATGTTTTAAAACCTTATTTCCACATCACTTTCTCTTCTTCTACTTTCAGTTTGATTAAAAAAACAAAACACTTCCATTTCCAAACAGCCATAAATATCCTTCTTGATCCCCCTCTGTCTCTCTCCATAAAGTCCATCTATTCATCCCTCTTGATTGGTGCCTCCATTAGCCTTCTATTCACATGATTAAACCATTTTAAATTATTTTTTTACTATTTTTAATAGATTTCACAACAATTTTTTCTTATATGATTATTATGCATCTTAACAAAAATGTGAAGTGAAACACTACTGTTAATATGAATGTTTTAGAAAGAAAAAATATAATTTTTTGTCATCATCGTTTCATTAGATTTTACTTTTAATTTTTACAATTTTTTTAATCTTTTCAATCCCTATAATGTTAAAAAGATTGGATAATCTTTTTTTTCTAGATCTCTATAGTTTTTATTTTTTTAGTTATTTATTTTAATCCCTATAAGAATTAAAAATATTGAAAAAATTATAAGAATTAAAAGTAAAACTCGATGAATTTATAGAAATCAAAAATTATATTTTTTTTTTTTAAAAAACAATTTTTAGTCAATAATAGCAAGGATTTTAACTACAATTAACTAATACTCTAAAGATTAGTTTTTAATGGTAAAACTACATAGATCCAAAACTATGTTTTTCCCAGTATTTTATATCTGTGAGTCTTTTTATAGGCAACTTCT